TTGAGCACATCAAAATTTTCATAAAACTTGATTTCTTATATACCGTCCGATAGATCACAAATTGCTCTATAAAATCATACATATGACATCTTGATTCAAAATAGTTCACCAAATCCAGCAGGTTTCTTTACTCATAGTTGTTCAATCTTACTTCAGAAGGAAAATTTGAACATACATTCGGAAATAGCATAAAATTCTGATTCTACCTCTAATAATTTGTCTTTTAGTGACTGAATAAACGATAGTCACAATACTTTAATGAATACAAATTATTTCGAAAATTTGAAAAATCTTTTTGTCTTCTTCTTCTCGACTTCTTTAAATTTCCGTTATATCAAACAAGAAACAATTCCTGATTTGCACTATTTGTTTGTAAATTTTTTTTTTTTTAATAAATGAAATCCATCCGCGCACAAAAGAACAAACAGGACAAATGTATGTATGTGACAAAAAAAAAAAAGAGAAAAAAACGCTTTGTCGCAGAAACGCGCATTAAAGAATTACATAGAACAAAAGAAACAAAGAAAAAACGAAAGAAAATCGAACAGATAATTCACTGTTTGTGCCAATGCGCAGAAAAAAAAGGAAAAAGGTAAAAAAAAAAACAACGAAAAAAAAACACGACAGTGTTTTGTCGATCCAAAAAAATGAACAATACACTATCATCGTTGTGCAAGAAATAGATATATATATTTTTATTTATAAGCATATGCAAGAATGCTATCGCATGCAAATAGAAAAATGATAGGACTTTTTATGATATAGCAACAGCAAGAACATCAACAACAAAAAACACAAACATGCATTCCTGAAAACATTGGCAGGGCTAGGAAATAGAAAGAAAACATGAATAATTTTTTGTTTTGTTTTGTTTTGTTTTTTTTCTTTTTTAATCAAGCATAGTTGATGATGAAACATGAGATCGAGACATTTGATAATTTAAACGAAATAACTTTATAATAGATTTTTTTAATTGTCTGACATTATAATCAATAAGTGCTTGTTTTGTAAGTGCTTCTTCACGTAAAATACATATTAATGCTAAATGACGATTAATTTCTTTGAGATAAAGTGCTCGGCCCCCAGTTAATTTAATAACACTTGATGACATTGAATCAAATACAGCTGATGCTGGTTCATTTGTTGTTTCAAGTAATGTTGAAGATTGATGATTCATTACTGGTGGTGTACCTAAAGGACCTACAAAGACAAAAAAAGAGGAACAAAGTATTTTCTTTTTTGTTTTCTAAATTCATATATATTTACTATTTAAATATGAATCTTTTCTTGAACCATTTATTTGAACATTATTCTCATTATAATCATCATTTTGAGCTACAAGATTCCATTCGTGTTGTTCACTATTATCACCCTGATTATTTTCATCTTCTTCATTAACATATTCATCTTCATCTTCATCATCATCACTTAATCTTCGCATATTATTTTCACTTGGCTGTCCATATATTTCACTCATATTTATTAATAAATCAATCATGTCACAGCATAATTCATACATCTTTAAAAAATAAATAAATAAATAAATAAATAAATAAAAACAGATTCGATTTGTTTGTTTCTTGTGTTTTATTTATATAAATTTAACTTACTTGTATATCGGTGGGTGATGAATCAGTTGCTATACTTATTTTAGTTTGAACATCGAATAAAAATGCTTGTTCAATATTCGATGTTGATAATAAATAATTGAGCAAACGTTCTAAATGGGCAAATTGTGGGATTAATTTTTGGATTACTTTTGAAAATGCTTCAAATATTGAATGATCAAATATGGATGTTAAATGAAAATTTATTAAAATTTCTTGAGAACTTGAATTAGACGTATGGGGTGTTGGTGACCAGGAATCAATGCCACCAATAGGATCAGCAAAACGATCTCGTACCTAAATAGAATTATATTGAATTTTACTATCTATTTTATTAGCATTCACAAATTGGATATACACATACATAAATATGCAAGGTTTAGTGAATTTATTTGATGAAATAGTTTGTTTTTTATTGTCTTGAATAGTTTTATTCAATGTAGATTTTATCAATATAATTTAAACGAAATCTATTGACTAAGAAATATTATTTATTTATTAATCTATATCATTTGTAAAGCACATCGGATTGTTCGCATAACCGAACATTTGGACCTGCTGAGCTCTAATTATCTGAGAAATATATAAGATGTGCAAGTTACCAAATACAAAAAAAAAAAAAAAACAAACGAGAAAAGTATCTCGTATCTTTGGAGCGATTATTCAATTTCGATTAGAAAATTTCATTGAGAGTATCAAAGTATAGTTTGGAAATCCTAGACTTGACGAGCTCTAATTGTTTTTCTTTTTATTTTATTGGTACAAATGAAATCTTGTCTTATTTTGCTAATTGTACGAATTTCATGGAGGATCAGTAACGAGGGAAAGTCTCCAAGTGTTACGTACTGTTTTAAATTTCATATATACCGGGTTTGTAGAACACAGTGAAACTTGAAGAATTTTAGTTATGATTTATTGTTATATTCTATTCATTACGAGTTATGATTGTTTTACGAGATTTTCAATCTCTTATATGAATAAAATAGAATTACGAAATTTTGTTTATACATAGATCTTATTTTTAATAGAAAATTCTAAAAATTTCTATAGACAAAATTTCATAATTCAATTTTTTCATAAATTTCTTCGTACAGATCAAAAATTTAGTACAACGAGAAATAGGATTGATATTAAACACAAGGAAAGTTCAGCACGCAAAAAACAAAATGAAAATAAATATAATATTTATTGAACAATCAATGAATTTATATAGGTGTGAAGGTTTTGGTATAGACATAAAAAAAGAAAGAAAAGGCGCACAACTACACCGACATCCATACCCTTAACCTTGGTATTTTTTGTCGCGTGCTTAACTTGTCAGTGCCGAACGTTCTCTCGTGCTGATCATTTCCGTTTTTAAGTATTCGTGCTTAATTATCTGTACTCATTGTTCAACAATCTTCAATTTGTATATATCCGTTTTACAAGGTCGTATAACATTTAGGAACATGTTATCATAAATGAAAATATATATTCGTAAGAATTAGAAGTAAACAATATTCTCCTAAATTATTATAATGATTCGAAAACATATTTGACATAAAAGGAAAATGATCATGAGTTTAATAAAGAAATATTTCTTTTTTCTTTTTCTTTTTCTTTCTAATAAATCATTTCTGTTTTTTTATTTCATATAATTCTAATGAAAAATATCCCATAAAAACAAAACTTTATTCAAACCTGATTATGAATATCTCGTTGTGTTTCAATTTTAGCTTCTTCAGATAATTGATCAACTTTATGTATAAATATTTCATATCGTATTCGAGGATTAATTCGTCTACCTTTTTGTATGATTGTATTTAAACGTAATATTGATTCACTATAATCATCTTGAGCATCAATTATATATACAACAGCATTACAACGTTTTAATAAACGTTCTAAATCATAATTACCACCTATTACATTTGTCATTGTATCATCATCATATGATGATGGTTGAACATGATTTCCTCCACTTCCACCACTAAGTCCTGATGAAAATAATGTTAATTGACCGGGTAATTCTTGTACTTGAAAATTAATAAATGACCCACATGAAAATTGATTTAATGTTAGATGTGGCGTTGATTCAAGAAATTGTGTTTGTGATGGTTGCATTTTTGTAAATATAACACGTTGTATTGATGTTTTACCTGAACGACGTAAACCGGTTAATAATATTCTTGGACGTATGAATGGATTCATATTTCTATTTGATGTTTGATTATTGATATTGCTACTATCACTACCACCCGTATCATTTATAGATGTTGTTGTTGTTGGATCACTCATGAATATATATGAAAATCTGGAAAAAAGAAGAACGAACATTCATCATTTATTTTTTTGTTTTTGATGTGTTTACATACAAACAAAAGAAGAAGAAAAAAAAAAGAAGTTAGACTAGGTTAAAAAAGAAGAAAGAAAGAAAGAAAGAATATGATGAAGAATAGTGAACAAAATGAAAAAAAAGAAAAAAACATACACATGAATGTCTGTGTGTAACAAAAGAAGAAGAAAAAAAAAGAGGAAAAATTTCAACGACGTCGTGATTTATATTTGGAATTTGAACTATGGTTACCATTTTGATGATGATGATGATGATGATGACTAGAAAATTAGAAGATTATTTATCAAGAGAACAAAAAACAAAACATTGATTTGATTATTACTGTGATAATGAAGATTCTCGTTTTTTAAGTCTATCAGATGATGATGAACGTGATGATGATGATGATGATGAACCAGATGAAGGTGATGTTGAACTACCCGTATCACTACCAGATGATGAACTTGAAGAAGATGAATGAGATGCTAAAGAGAAAACAAAAAAAAAAAAGTAATTAGATTGTTGTATAAAGTTTTGCTTGTTTTTGTTTTATTTTACCTGATCGATGTTTAGGTTTTTTTAATTGTTTTTCTTCGACGATTGTTTCAGCCGTTGAAGTTACTATTGGTGGCATTATATTAGTATCATTACTTTGTTCCTAAAAAATAATTTATAAAAACAAAAAGAAAATAAATAAATAAAGCTTATCAGCGTTAAATATGGAGCTCATATATGTCCTTACACCTCATTGTACTAATGCCCATTTCACAAAAAGAAAAGGCGGACGAGAATTTTTTTTAATAGCTTTTGATAACAACAAGATAGAGCTGCGGTTTTCACCTTGAGAAAAAAGAAGATGAAGACACATCGAATCATATATTACGAGTTTTTTGACCTTGTTTTTTTTAAAGGTTTCTAATTAACAGGCGCGCATCGAAATTGCTGCCAATGGATGATCTACAAAACTATGTAAGCCTCAGATTTTGTTATTCAGGAGTCATAGGTATTCTATCGGCCGATTTTTCAAGTAATTGCTGCGAAAAAGACATTACATTTTTATTTTTTTTTCTTATGTTAAAAGAAACCATATTTCCGACACTATTTTTTTTTTATAAATTTGATTATAAAAAATTTCAGAAAACACCTTAGGAGAACTTATAATATATGATTCGACGTAATTTCATCTTCTCTTTCAACGCGCTCTATCTTGTTCCTATGAAAATTTATCTAAAACATATCCGTCCACCTTTGTTTTGGAATAAATATGTAAAATCGAAAGTTTCTAACAAATTATAATTGTTTATCCAAGAATAATCGTTTGTCAAGAAGAAGATCTGGTGCATTTATTTCTTGTTGATTTTCGTTTTTGTATTCTGTTTTTTTATTTTCAAATTTAACATTATTATTATTATTATTATGGGAAAGGAGTCTGATGTCTGTTGTCCTTGGTTGCTATGAAAACGTACCTAAAGATCATTCTTTCCACTGCCCTCGTGACTATGAGAGAAGGTGATGAAAACTCGAACACCTTGATTCAAAAACTAATTATGTGAGTGTCATAAAAATGATATAAATAGAAATGAATAACTTACTTGATTACTTTCCGTTGGAATACTTGGATCTTCTTCGTCAGCATCATCAAAAAGTGAAGAAACTGATGGTGCTGGTGGAGGTGGTGGTGGGACTGTTGTTGTTGTAATTTGTACTGTTTGTTCTTCCATAAAAGTAGTTGATGAAGTTAATTCATCTGTTGATGTTGGTTGTGGTTCATCAAGGTCATCAAGTTCCATATCTTCATGTTCACCAATACGATCTTGTAAATGTGTTGCTGGATTTGATGATTCTTCATTATCTTCAGGATCATAGAGTGGTAGAGGTGGTGGTGGTGATGGTCGAGCTATTTGAATGAAAAAATTTAATTGTTGTTCTTTTTTCTTTTTTTTTTAATGAAAAAAAAAAGACTAAAATAATTAATTTTACCTGGTGATGTTGAAGGTGGTAATGGTATAGATTTTGCTAATTCAATTCTAATCTGTTTTCGTTCGAGTGGTTCACGCGGTTTAACAGCTTGTGATGGTGCAAAAATATGTTCATCGTCTGGATTTGGTGGTGTCGGTAAACGTTTTCGTGCTGGTGGAGTTGGATTACGTTCATGTCGTCCAGCTTGTGCTTCTCTATATATATGTATGTGTAGAAAAATGATAAATTATGTAAAATGAGATTACTTACGATTCAGTTGAACTACTTGATGACGAGCCTGATGATGATGATGACGAGGAAGATGAAGATGAAGTTGATGATGATGATGATGAACGTGATGATGAACCTGATGAAGACGTTGATTTTGATGATGAACTCGATGATCGTTTTCGATCTTTTTGACGATTAGATGATTTTGATTGAGATGGACGAGTATTTTTATCACGAGATGAACGATTACGATGACGATCATCATTTCGTCGACGATCTCTATCATAATAATCACGATTACGACCTAAAAAACATATATATAAATCCAAAATTTATTTGACATATTTATTTAAAAGATATTTTTACCTCGATATCGATCAGGTCGATCATAATATCGATTTCGAGATGATACCGGTGGTGAAAATCGTCGACGATGACTAGTATTATATCTATCATCATAATTTCGTCGACGATAATAATCATCTCTTTCACCATAATTACGATAACGATTTTGTGAAGATGAATAATGATGTCGATCACGACTAGAAGTACGACGATGACGATCACGTTCACGATCGCGTTCACGATCACGTTCACGATCACGATCATGATCACGTTCACGTTCATGGCTCGATGTTTGTCGTTGTCGACGTTCTCGATTAGAAGAATCTTTTTCTTTTCGACTATGACTCGATGATGATTGTTCAGTTTGTGACATTGTTTTATCTTGTTGTTTATCTGTTGGTTCTGATAATGACGGCCGATTTTCATCAGACTTTTCAATATTTGATGCAATTTCGACAGAATTATTTACTATTCGAGTAGGCGTTTTCTCTTTTGGTGAACTATAAAAATAGATTAGAGTAATGTAAAACAAAACAAAACATTGTATTTTGTGAAACACGATCTAAAATTTGAATCCTCCGTAGAAGCTAGTTAGAGATAATCAAAGATCGTAACAGCCACCTGTCATAGACCGTCACAGATCGTGACAAGAAAGAATAACACTACCTTTCGGTATAGGATACTGCCTAACGGCAGATTCATTAGTCCCGATATCTTTCCTAAAACTAATACTAGCCGTAACTCTAGACAGAAGGTCAGTCTGACCCAGAGTTCTTGTACTCAACCGCTTAAGTCTCCCATACACGAATCACAAGTGTAGGTGTATGCCACAACGTGATCATCATGATATCGGAGGGGTGATCCGAGATAAACAGCCGTTAGTAACTTGCCCAGGATCATTTCATGACTGGTGATACTGAGGTTTGAACACAGTACCTATGGACACATGCCGAACAATGTAATCATTCAACCATGATGACCAATCGTGACAAATGTTATTCATAGACGATCACAAACTGTATATCAATAACATCTCGTTATAATGTATGAACTACTTTCTTATTCGATTTCTGGAAGATTAAGTAGAAGAATGAAGAAGAAATATATCCCAAAATGTAGATAGAATAAAACAATTTTTTTATGACTAGCAAGAGCAGTTACATCGTGTTTCACATTTTAATGCTTTAGAAATTGTATTAATAGCTCTTCTTTTTTGTTTGTAGAACAAAATTAACTTACGGTTCTGATTGAGTTTGATTTTGTTTGATTGAATCAGTGGTTAGTTCATCTTCATCATCATCATCCCATTTTGATTTACTAACAGTTGTTTCTGTTTCTATTACTATTGATTCTGTTGATTGTTGTGGAATGTCATTCGATTGTATTATTGATTCAGTTTGTACAATACTTGTTTGCGCAATCATACGTAATTCATCTTCAAGACTAGTATGTTGTGTTATTATTTGTCTTTCATTAAACTCTACGTCATTTTCCCAACGATTACGTCGTTTTCCAGATGAAGATGTCGATGGTAGTGGTGGTGATGATGAACTAGAATGTAATACTGGTAGAACATTATTTGTATCTCCTTGTTGATCAGTTTTCGATGATGATATTATAGAATCATCTAAAGATTCATTTCTATTATCAACTAGTGGCGATCGAACACGAGATGATGATGGTGGTGGTGTTTGAGAACGACGACGACGATTTGTATGAGATTCATCATGATCACGTCTAGGACGTACTGGTGAAGAATTATTTTGAACTAAATATTTAAAATAAAAAAAAAACAAAAAGATTTATTTAAATGGATATTTACCATGTTTATCATTTTCGTCATGTTTATTACTTGTTGATCGATGATATTTTGATTCATTACGATGTTCACGTCGTTGTCGTGTTGGTGATGAACGTCGTTGTTCACGTTCTTTAGGTTCAGCTCGAACAATACTACTTTGTATAATTGGTTGTGATTGTTGTATTTGTTCATCATTATCATCATCAATATTTTCTCGTCGTTTTTCATAACGACGTGAACGTTTATTTGAATCTTTTGATAATTGTTCATCATTATTAATCATTGTATTTTCTTGATCATCACTAACATCACCATTTTTTAAATATGAACGATTACGTTTTGAATTTTCACGTGTATTTAATTGTTCAGATGATTGTGTTAATGTATCTGAATTTTCATTCGAATTTGTTTGTTCAACAGATGTTTGTTTACGTGATTCATTCATTTCAACAAAACGTTTACGTTCTTCAGCTGCTGAACGCCAATGTGGCGGTGTACGTGATCTGGAACGACTTTTTCCAGTATATCTCTAGAATAAAACTAATCCATAAAAATAACAAAAAAATATTTATTCTTACCATTGTACCGCGACCTTTTACTGGACGACCATTCGAATCAACTTTTGTTGCTGCACGATAACTATTTGTGCTAAAAAATAAAAATTCTCTTTATTCAAAATATTCATCTATTATCATATAAGATATTTATGAACGTTATAGTTTTCAAAAACTTATTTCATGTCTATACTTTCAACATACATCGATTAGCGAATTTGTTCGATAAGATTTATTTTCAATTTTTTTGCCACTGTCCTAATTGCTAAGAAGGATCCAAGGAAATAATTCTCTACAAAATGAGACGTCTCCAAACTCTTGATAACGTTTTCTTGACTGAGACACAAGAATCTGATTGAAGACTGAAAAAATGGTTTTTCGATAAGAAAAGTGGAAACAATGACTTTAGAGGCTTTCGTAAGATTGCTATATGTCAGCTATAAAACGTCGTAGAGAGCTTGAAGATGTCTCATTTTGTAGAGAATTATTTCATCTAACGTTCAAGATACTCTGAACAAAACTATATTCATGTGTTCTAGATGCCGAATAACTGAGGTGTTGGTTTTTTATAAGTCTCATCTTTGGCATTCATTCTTATTTGTTGATCTTCTTATCAGGAACAAGGTTGTCTATTAGAATTATTCTTTCAATTCTTTTTAGCAACCAAGATATCGAAAAAAAAATGAAATATAAACCTTGTTGAACAATTTTAATAGTAGTCACTGTATATGGGGCCATTTCAAGCAAAACGAGACATACACACCTTTCATTTGACCTTGATCTTTTACGAGGGTTATCTTTCTGAAAAAATTCTTCTAGCATAGACATGTGTAAAAATGTTGACTCTTTCAGGTAACTATTAATTAATAAGCAACTAGCAAATATCCCTCTAATCGTACGAGAAAAATATTCGAAAACTTCAGAATAGATTCTACGGCACTAAGTGCATTTATAGTGGAATTTTCAGAAAGATTAGTCGCAATAAAAACTTCTCCTTAAAATTCGATTTTCTAGAAATTCCATCACGTTCTGAAACAGAACTTTTTATCTTAATATCATCAATAATTTAAATATTTGTACTTTATCAGGTCACTAATAGAAAGTAGATAGATTTTTTTGAAAAATTTAGATATGATTAGAAAAAGAAATTGCATAGTAATTTTCTGGCTTCAAGAATTGTCTACAGAACGTACTAGTTAGTTTTCAAAAATTCTGCCTCAATTCGAAGTCTTTTTAAACTAAAACGTATAAAATGAAAGTCGATGCCCTTTTTTTTTGCGTTACATCGTTAACACTAGTTTTTCAAGGATAGTTTCTCTGAACAAATGTTGCTAGCGCTGACTTTGTCAGAATATCTAGAGTAACTTAATATACACGTAAAATATACAAAAAATTAGCTCTAGAAAAGCTCATTAGCCAGAAAAATACAAGTATTTTAATTTTGCAAAGTCATATCGTTAACGAATGATTTGACCCATATGTAGGTAACAAGAAAATGTTATCAAATCTAATGATAATATATCTGTCTACTGTCTGTTTATATATATTTTATTATATAATTTAACAAATCTTTCTTTCTGAAAGTTAATATTATATAATATGATGATAGTAGATCATTGAAACATTTACTAAATATTCTAAGAAAATTTTCTTCAACTATTTAATAAGAAAATATAATTATGTTGTTTAAGTTAGCTAAAAGGATTAGATTATTTTTTAACTCTAATATTATTAACTAAGTACTTATAGAAAAACAAATTTAGATTTTATCTTTTTACAGTAATAATCAGCAGAGTTGAAAGTAAAAAAGTTAGCTGTAATTATCTTGTTTTTTTTTTTTGTATAATTATTACTAAGAATGTCAAGCTTATGTTTCCCATAGAAATAGTGATTAACTCTGAATTGAAATTTATATATTAAACATTTTTTATTGTTATAATAAAGAAATCTTTCTTAAGAACTCCCATCAACAAATTCATCATCCAAACTATTTCGTGCATGTCTAGTCAATACTCGTTGATATAGTGTATACAATGAAGGCTGTAAAACAAAACATATTGATCAACTGAAGAGACGAATTACGAAAAAATTGAAAGAAATCCATTTAAAACTTATACAAACCATATTTTCGGGTATACGCAAACAATTCCGAAAAATTGCCGATAAAGGAGCTTTCCAGGGTTCCAGATTGGGAGAGGGGGGGGCAGGGAGGGACTTTCTGTCCCAATTTTTTATAACACTTTCTGCGACAATTTTAAAGTTCAGTTCAGCAGAAAGCTTTTGCATTTTCTGAAATAAAATTAAACCAAAGGTGGTGCTTTCTGCCAAATTTCTCGCAGAAAGTAGACTATTTCTGCGAAATTTCTCACAGAAAGTCGACTCAGTTTCTGTCAAATTTCTGGCAGAAAGTTGATTGTTTCTGGCAAATTTCTCGCAGAAAGTCTCCTATTTCTGCGAAATTTTTAGCCCCCTCCCCCCCCCCCCCCCCCCACTCCTAAAAACAATCGTGAACCCTGGACCTTTCTGAAGCTTATTCTTCTTGATTTTTGAAACGTTACTATTTATACTTTTGTTTGGTATAATAAAAGAAATCAAAGCTACACGTTGAAATAAAAGACTAAAAACAACTTTGTGCTAAGACTTTTTTATACAGATGTTAAATAACATATTCATATTTATCTTAAAAATAATTTTTTTGACGTAAATCGTGTTTTCTGAGGGGATAATATCCTTAAGTATCATAAAGAATTCATTTCATACCGAGATGTTCTTTCATTATTGATTGTTTCATCATTGTTGCTTTTTTCTTTATCATTTAATGAAGATCGTGTAGACAATTTTTGTTCGGATATATCACCTGAATCAATATTTGATCGTTTAGATATTTCATTGATATTATTATCAATATCATTTTTATTTTCACCAATTTTTGTTGCTAAACGTTTTGTTTCTTTTTTTCGTCGATGTTTTTCTTTTTTTTTACTTTTTTTATTATGTTTAGATTTCTTTTTCTTTTCATCATTACCTGATGTTGAACTACTTTCATCATCATCATTATTATTATTATTTTCTTCGACATTTTCATTTTCACTTCCATCTCCAGTTGAAATTTTACGTTTTTTTGATTTATTATTTTCTAAATAACAAAAGGAAAAAAGATAACATCATTAGATAAATTTTTTAGATATATTAATAAACTTACTGGTTACAATTTCTAATTGACCACAATGAGATATAAGAGCATCTTTTAATGGACGATTAGTATTTGGATCAACAGGAAGACTTTCAATTGTATCGACAACTGCTTGACCAGAAACAACATGGCCAAAAATAACGTGTTTACTAAAAAACAGAAAAAAGGTTTTCTTTTTAATTTGTCAAACAATGATTATCAAAGAAATGAAATCATGGGGAATGCGCAAGGTTAATTTTCTCGCTAAACCATTATAGTTATAAAATGAACCCATTTTGTTTCCCTTCCTTCAATAGTTGACAGGCCGACAGAAAAATCTTTATTGCTTGTCATTAACCTTCCGTTCAATGACTATTGGGTAATAATCAGCTGGCAAAATAGGGATAGTGTTCTTCAGATTGTTTAACTATTTAATATTAGCACCTAGTTAAAAGAAAAAAACTAAATTGTAAATACTGTTAAAAAGAAAACTACAAACGTCAAGATCACTTTTATTGTTAATGAAACAGGAAAGAATAAGATCAACCATTGTATGTCATCTATTACAAGTTGATTTATTGGACTTCAGTTTATTTAATCAAAATTGTCAAGTACCATATATTCAATTTTAAAGAAATAGAAGCTAACGTCTGATTATGCTATTGGTTCTAATTTAATGGTAAACTATGGAGATAATTTTTATACGGCATGAGAGAGAGAGACTCCAAAATGACGATTATGTATTACTTAAGGTCCCGTTCTCAAAAATCGACCTTGAGCCAGATGCATTCAAATCTCATAAAATTTTCAGAATATCTTAAGGCTATGCTAAAAACTATGGCCCTATACAACGACGTTTTCAGAAGATATTCAAGAAATGTTGGTTAAAAAATAGTTCCTTCGGCACTTTGAAAATTGTCTTTGAGCTCTCATTCTATAGATTTTTTCTAATTTGAAAAAGCATATCAGGCTGCAATGTCCTTGATTTTTTTATTTCTCACTCTTTATACGGGAAAAAAAAGGATGACATGTTTCATACCACTAGAAACTCCCAAAAAATGGTCATCTATTTATAGAAGTGCTTTTATATAATAATAAAAAACCAGCAACTGTCTACTGTACAGCTCCTTCAAGAATTCCGAGATGCACGATCAGACCTCGGATAATCTTGTCAATTTTTCTAACGAAAATTGACTTTTTTTTTTTTAGGGAAGAGAAGCATTAAATAATCGCATGTCGGATATGCAAGACAGGAAGTGTATTTATCACAGAGGTGCAGAATATGTTGTAAAAAAGAAAAATTTTCCCAAACGTTAAATTTTTTTCAAAAAATCTCTTCAGCTAGAAAAATAAAAAGAAACAAGGTGTTCCTGTATAGAGTATATATTTATTATAAAGAAAGGGCATCGGAATAGAACTTAAAATAAATAGCGTGATATAAAAAACAACTCATTCTATTGATCATCGATTGACTCTAGTAAGCTTGATACTTGTTTTTTTTTGTAAACGATTTAGCACAATCGAGCCAGGTGAGATAAGTTTTCACATTTTATATTGTTAACTCTTTATATAAAATTACCAATTCTTCTCCTTCTCGGTACTAAATTAATCATTCAGCAACTGTTTAATAAAGTGCTCAGTGAAATATAACGGACGAGCACTCCAATGAAGCATTACTTCGCTATCTAACGAATCATGGTGTAATGAACGTACGCGATGTAACAGAATAGAATACATGAAACTGAATGAGGAAGAGAGAAATGAAACATGAAGAAAGAACAAGAACGGAAAGAGAAAAGTTAACAGCACAAAAGCGGGAAGCTCATCACAAAACATAACACCTTGTGATTTTTCTTCATATGGAATAAAAATATTTTTCGAAACGTTCATAGATCCAAAAATTCCCTTAAAAACGCGTTGTTGCATACGGCCAGATTCTGCATGTCTGATTCATCAGGATAATAATAAACAAAATCATGAGACTATATATATCAATCTGTCTATATTAACTATCGAGTGGCATTGAATATATACAAATGTTGGATTATCAGTAATCTTACTTTAGTATAAACAAGGGGCATGGAAAATTTATTGGGAAGTAATTATTCTTTGGTATTCTAACTATCTTTTAGCATATAGTCAATACTACGAAAATTTATTTAACTCCACTCATTACATTGCGTTATGTTGACTAAATGGATGTCTCATGAAAAAAATATCGTCTAATAGAACTATTTAATATAGTTTAGATGGTACTAAATTTTTTTCTTTTCTATCATGTCATCTTTTTTATCTAATTCTTTCACGAATTAATACTTAAAGATCAATAGGAATGTATTGTTTATCGATGAATCATGTTTTTTATTTTAATTTAATCAATGGATACTCAATGAGATTTTAATTCATATTATGAAACATACTCGAATTTTTAAACTTACCAAATAATTCGTTTGAATTTGTATTCGAAATCTTCATATAGATTTTAAATCATCAATATTTTGTTTATATACTAATCTGTTTATTATGATGATTCATTTTTTTTGTTAGTTATGATATTTTCTTTATTTACTCATTATTTATGACGTAGATTTTTTCTCTACACTACTGTACTCTTTAACTATTCTTTAGTTAGTCATGCATTCGTTCACATATTTTTTGTTCTTTTTTTTTTGCTCATCATTTATTCAATACATTGGTCGATCTTCATTCATCATATGTCATCTTAAAATGGCAGCTTGGATCGCATTTAGTTGCATGCTAACAAAATGAAGTTTGTCTTTTTGATTAATGACTTCTTTCTTCCGGTTTAGTAAAAGAAATAGTTTATATAGAATAGACTCATATATCAGGTAATAATATGTAATGGAATATTGTTTGTAAAAGTTCTGAGTAAATTGACTGTTCTCTATCTTTTAGAAAAGAAATTTCAGAAAAAAAAAGAGTAATATGAATGAGAAATATAATAAGATGTTCGAAATATATTCTTATGTTTATTGGAAAAACTCTTACGTACAAAGATTCCTAACCTGTAAAATAATTTGTTATTTTTCAAATAATAATTTTTTTGTAAATTCTTCTTTATGATTTTTTTCTTAACTCATAAAAAAACAAATAATATTTACCCATCAAGATGCGATGCTTCAGCTGTCGTTCTAAAATAAAATAAAAAATATTTTAAATATTAAAAAACAAATTAAAACTTTTTATTTTTTACATAAAAAACTGTGATCCATTTGTATTCGGTCCTCGATTAGCCATTGAAAGAAGGTAGGGTCGATCATGTTTCATTTGTAGATTTTCATCTAAAACAAAAAAAAAAAGAAACTTATGTTTTTTTCTTTTTAATTATTAAATCAATAAACATACCATCAAAGAAACCACCATAGATCGATTCACCGCCGGTGCCGTTGCCTGGAATTGAAAGACCACATAGACAGAAAAAATCGATTATTATTAACACAGATCATCTTAGTTATTTAACAACACTCGACTAAAAGAGATAAAATATAATGCAAGTGATGGCCTCATATATATCTTTTGCCTGCCATCACTCGTCATTTGTGTATAGACACAGAAAAGATGAACCCAAAGTTTACTTGAAAATCAATCTTGCTGATCAATGCAAAAAGAAAATATATATATATATATATATATATGATTAAATTTAAAATTAAAAAAAGAAAAAGAAGAAAGGCAAAATCCTCATATTAAATACCGTATAAAATTTTACCTTCAGTAAAATCACCCGATTGTATCATAAAATTTTTAACAACACGGTGAAATAAACATCCTTTATAATACAATTTTTTATACAATGTTAAACTACGACCTTTTTCTCCTAAAATAAATATAATTTTTTATTAAAAATATTAAACATAAAATTTTTTTTCTATTACCTGTACATAAACAACGAAAATTTTCACATGTACGTGGACACATATCATTATATAATTCAAATACAATTCGACCAACTAAAATAAAAAAACAAGAAGAATAAAGTATGATAGGAAAAATTATTTGTAAAAATAAATTTAACCTTCATTTTCATCAATTTTAAGATCAAAAAAACATCGTATTCTCGACGTCATATCTAGAAAAGAAGTCATATTATATGTATTTCCGACGTAATTTTATTTCTGAGATAACCGTAAACATGCTAGAATAGCACAAGACAAAAGAAGAAAAACAAACAACAACGAGTTCTTTACCTATTGGTTTATTTTATTGGTTGAAGACGTTAACCAATAACAAAAAAAATAAATAACTTTATAATTTTTAAAAATATTTAAATAAAAATTTTTTTTTCAAAAAAAAAAAAGAAATTTTTTGGTCTTTTAATGAAAAGAAATTTTTATTCTTGATCGATTGTAGCGATACATATGAAACAATAGAGCGCGATTAAACCTTTGTGCAAAACAAAAATCTATACTCGTCTATAGTTATTTTTTAATAAGATCATGGGCGCAACAAGTTCAAATAGAAAACATTATTCAAATCAATTAAATTCAAATATTTATAGTACACCACCTAAAATAAATAGTAACGGAATTCATAATCGTCTTATTCAACTTCAATGTGATCCACGTTCGCCCACTGGTAAAAAAATTGTTTTTCAAGAAAATTTTAATAATTTTTCTTGTTTGTTTTTTAAGATGGTATTTGTCGAACTCCAATTCAAATCAATAGTCAACTGTCAGTCCCATCTGTTCAATTATATAATCATGTTTTGCCTCATATTGTTGGTCCAGATATAATTATATCTGATATTAACAATGAAAATAATCAAGAAAATGAAATACGTCATCGTTCACAACAACTTGATGTTATTAAACATGATTCTAAACGTTCAAGTGGTATTGAACCAACATTAGATCCAAATGAAGTATTAACTGTATTGATGGCTAATAACAATGGTCAATTACCACCATATCAATTATAATTTTCTTATTCTGTGTGTATGTGTATGATACAGTCAGTGTTACATGTGTATATTTATATGTAATCGATCTTTTTTTCTTTCGGATTATTTCATTAATTATTATTATTTTCTCTTTTTCTATATATTATTATTATTTTCTCTTTCTGCCTTCTCTTATTAATAATAAAATAACAGTTATAGAAATGAAATAGTATAAAAGACGAAGTTTTATTATATTCAGCAAGATATGTTTGTCATAACGTATAATGCAAAAGTTATGGCATAAATGTCGAACTCTGTTTCTCTTTGATAGTAAGAATATTGAATGAAAACTTTTTTATCAAAAGATAGAGCGTTTTCTTCTCTTTTAAATCATATAATTTATTTCTATAACATACTCATAAATGAAACGATGCAACAGAAAAGAGAAGTATCCTTAATAAGAATCCGCACTTTTTTCTATAAAAGAACCACACAAAATGTCAATCCTTATATCTCTTCGATAAATAGGTTCAGAAAAGATTTTTTTTTTCAGTTGGTAGGAAATTTTCTTCACTTTCGAATAGTATATTAGTTAGTGAAACGAGACGAGAAAGAATAGAAACATCTGTGTAACAACAATTTTGCAAATGTAGTTAAATGGGTAATGAGTAGAGTTCTGCGGGGCAACCATTTTTCGAGTCCAGAATATGGTTTGTCGTGTCCTGTTTTATTTTCGAAATGTTTCGCAAGACTGTAGTGATGACGATGACTATTGATTCTTCGTCTATAGTCTATGTTTTATACTCATACGGAAACAAGATGGCAATGATAACAACTGGATAGTTTTCATATGCTATAACACTATAAAGCAAAGACTGAAGCAGAGAAATAAGTAATTAATGTCATCACTCTTTAAACTGTATGTGCAAAATTGTAGATGGGCTCATCGTAACTTTGCCGGAAGAGTGCCCTCTCGCGACGGGCCCCTAATTGGGCTCTTATTTGCTAACTAGGGCATGGGACTCTGTTTGAGTGAAAAGAAGACTAACTGTCACTCCCATGGTCTCCCTTCAAAACAAGTTTTTTTTTTACACGTTTGACAGTGTATTGAAAGCTCAAATAGTTCAGTATCTTTCTCTTTCGTTTACTAGTCGTACAACGAAGCATGGCGAACAAGTAGCAACAAGAAAGGCGAATATAACGGTTCGATCTAAACTTTTTAATTGTCAATTGAGAAAACTTTGACTTTAAGCATTGCTGGTGATCAAGCTTTCATATTTTATTGAGCAAAGAAATTATTATTCTTTAACATAAACAGAATAGTATCAAACATAAAATCTTTCGCTGCAAAAAATCTCTGCGTGACACTTTTCGTTGTGTTGCATTATTAACTTTTTTTCACTTGCAAATATATAATACTATTAGAAAGACCATAAAAAAACTGAGCATAGTAGACATAGTTTCATTTTTGAGAGCACAGAAAAGATTGTCTTTTTCGTAATACGATCCTTTGTTAGAAAATGCTTATGATCATTAAGAAGTTGCTAAAAAGATACTGTACAGCAGAAGAAATCGTATATGTTCTTTGCTAATTTTGAAGAGCAGAATACATTCGACAAGATAGGATGTTTTCAAACTTTCTAACATTTCAAGTAATGTGCTACAAGATGAAAGAAATACAAAATCTGACATTTCGAAACATTTTTAAATAGAAAAGAGACAATTAAATAGATTTTTCTTTTTCACTATTCTCTAGTACATTTATTTAATATGGCAGAAAGTTTGAAAACACCTTATTTTGTTGAATGTACTCTACTTTTCAAAAGGAACAAAGAAAATACATGATTTCTTCTGTTGTATAATAAGTTTGTAATAACTTCATATGATCATAAGCATTTTTCAGTGCAAAGGATCATCTTTTCAATATTACTACGTGCCTGAAAACGAAGAAAAATGAATAAATGAATTAAACGAAAAATGTCCTGGAACAAGATACGATCCAACGGTTAGAAGCGAAGTGTCGCGAGTGTGGACATCCCGCAGTTATGAAAAATTTTTGTTTTTTTTCCAGTAAAGCCAAAGATTTTACTTGCTTACTCTGAGAACAAAAATTGCTTATATCCTCTCGAAAAAATTGCAACACACCCTTCCGAATGTTGGCTACTGCTGGTTCACTCTGTCTAAAACTTTTTAGTCGCTGGAGATTTTATGTATGATACTATTTTGTTTGTGCTGAAGAAAAATAATTTCTTTGCTAAATAACATATGAAAGCTTGATCAATAACAATGCTAAACATATGTTTAAAGTCAGAGAAACAAAGTATTGAGGAACTGTTTTCGATTGTTCCAGAACTTCTGGCTAGAACTGTATTTAGAAGTCCGTTGTTTTTGAAATTTTGAGATGTATAAGATCACTTTTTTTGTAACCTTAAAAGTTTTACTATCAATTTATTGGTTTTCTGAATAAGAAAAAAAAAACATAATGTACAACTCCTACAAAATCTGCATCTTCGAAAAATCTACGTAACCTATCTTTTGATGCATAGAGATATTCAAATTTCTTGGCATTGGAAAATAAGAGTAACAAAAAAAAATTGATTAATTATTTTTATTATTTCATATTAAAAGAAAAATTTTTAACAACATCAACGTCTACGCTTACTTAAGTAAAAAAAATTCTAGCTAGATTAACAGATGCAAAGTAAGAAAAAAATAAATAAAAATATTCTCTAGTGCTGTGCCAAAGCTTCACCATAATTATCAGTTAGAAAATCTTTTATTTTTTCATATGATGATAATGTTAACACTGCTGCAGGTACTGTTCGTAATAGAGCAGGTATAATACCACGATAAAATCCACGTATACCTTCTTCTTTAGCAATTGTTTTAACTGCATCACGTACATTTCTATAGTCACGAAAATTAGCATCCGAAGTTGAAGATTGTTTTTGTGAACGTCGAGCTTGACCTGCATCTTGAAGACGACTACGAACTATTTCATGTGGATATGCAGTAAAAGATGCTATTAACTTTGAAACACTGGATGCAAACATAATTTGTCCTGTCGATAAATGACCATCAGAAGGTGAACCAGCCGCACATTTCTTTTTAAGATATTCATACAATGGAAATTGAATACCAACGTGGATCTATATCGAAAAAGAAAAAGAAAATCAAACGCTTAATTATGATTCAAACTTAAAAATATGAAAGATAAACTAAGATATTTGCACAAATTTATAAGTCTCTTCGTTTTAGTTCGAAATTACATAGAGATTAGACTTGTCATGGGTGACGTACTAGCACTACAAGAGGTAGCAATTGCTTCCTTACGAGTTTTCCACGCCTCCTGTTTATACTAGAGTAAGACTATTTAATCCAACATATATCTATTTTTTTTCAATACGACCTTGTAGTTCAAATAAGAGGATTAACTCATAGTCTCATGATTTTCTTTATTGTTATCTTGATGAATACATTTCCCGTCATATATATCTCCGACATGTGATTATTTAACTCTTTAAGGACGAGAGACGTATATATACGTTCGGTGTTGGATCAACTTTTAATTAATTTGCACATACCTCTTATGATGCTGTTGTGATTGACAATACCATACAGACCATCAATCTATTACACTGCTATTCGTATTGTGAGAATGTGAGTTCAGCTGAAGAGAAAATCTATACTCACTCACATCCTCAAGATTATCATACTCTAAAATGATTTTAGACATCTTCTGATAGTAATAGGAATAAATATATTCCATGAGAGTTTCGAAAATTTCTTGTTTTCTTAAAAGTAACCTCGATTTGAAAGAGTTAATTAATGCATAATCGATATTTTGATTATTTTGAACTCTCTTCTGTCATAATAAACGATCTTCAAAGTTTAAAACTAGATCACGGTCAATAGCATAATTGTAAATCGGCTCTTGCCTCTCTTAGACTGATTAATTATATAAGTTTCAACGACTTTGACCACAAGAATTAAAGTTCGATTAACCCACATTAAATGGTTAAAACGTAATAGCTAGTCTTCTTTACTGTTTCGTTATCAATAAAAGCGACAATGACATTTGTAGTTTTCTTTTTAACAAAATAAATAGTTAAACAATCCAAATGACAGCAACTCCATCTTCCTAACTGATTATCACCTAATAGTCAGTGAACGGAAGGTAATTGCAAAAAAAAAATGTGAGTTTTTGCTAAATTGTTTTTGAGTAAATTTTGTTTTTGAATAAAAATTGTTACACTAATCTGAAATTCGTAATGTGCTGTCAGACAATTTAATACTTAAGCTTCCATATATCATTCCTTTGCAAAAAAATTAAATTCACGCGTCAAAGTTTTTGCTGCTGAAATATTCACGATTGAAGGGAAGAGGACACAAAATAGACCCATTCAAAATTTTATTCCTTCTCCTACGAAATTGATCTTGTGCCATTCCATGAGGCTTGTTATATATATATATATTCTGTAAGAAAATAAATCAATTTACCAAGCCCCACATTGATGGTACAACACCACGATATAATGCACGAAGTCCTTCTGTTCGATAAATTTTTTTTGCTGCATGGAATGAATTTCTATAATCTTGATGATCTGATTGTGTCATCATACGTGTACGAATAGTCCATATTGGTGCCATCAATATATTTGATATAGCACCAGCAGTAACAGATGAAAGTAAATCAATTAACACATCATTTTTAGAATGAATTGTTGTTAAAATTTTTGCATATTGTCGTTTTGATCCTTGATATATACTGAAATAAATCGCCCAATTAGGTACATAACCCTAGAACTTGAATAAGATAATAATTTTCAATAAAATAAAATCATTATCTTACCAACATTGTTGTTCCTAAACCTTTATAAAATGCTCGAAAACCTTCTCGTTGAGCTAATCTATACATTGTAACTATTAATGGTGTATCAGGTACACCTTTTGGTAAACGTTTAACTTGAATACGTGTTTTAACAACATCAAGTGGACTAACAAGGGTACTAACGAATGCACCGGACGCTGCACCAGCAAAAGTGTTGATTTGTGAATTGTTTAATAATACATGTGATTGCTTTTCTTGTTTATTCATTTTATATTTCTGAAATGAGGATTTGATCTTTTGTTTTTCTTTTTTTTTTTTTTTATTTAGTTTTAGTTATGTTTAAAGACTTGAAGTCAACATTTAATGATATAAAAGAAAAAACAGAAAGAAAATGTAATCATAATAAGAAGAGCACATTAGGTCGATTCGTCCGTCAGTTCGTTTGTTTGAAAAGAAAAGACGAAAAAAAAAAGAGATGGAGAGAGAGAGTCGATCATCATTTAATGATCTGAAAGAATTTCTCGACGAATTGATTTAACATATTGTGATGGACACCAATAGATCCAAATAATTGAATTTTCTCTTTTATTAAAAATAAAAAATTACAAAAAAAATTCTTTCATAACTAGAAAAATAAAACCAACTTACGTTGTACCCGTTTGAAATCCAACAATTGAATAACCATCTTGACCTTCGATTGGTTCATCAACAATATTTCGTATTTGTGTCATTGGTATTTTTTTTGTTGTTTCCGCTAATTATAAAACACAAACAAAAAAAATTCTCAAAAAATATAAAATATCTTCTAATCTTACCTGTATTAATCCATAATTCATCAAGTTCAAGTTTAAATGTTAATCGTGCTTTTTTAGCTGGATGATTTAACATTGACATATATAAACCATCAATTGATTGAGGTAATGGATCATGTTTATTACGAATACCTATTTGAACATTATCCGGTTTACCTACAAATTAATATATATATTTATTTGTTTATTTCAATTTTGTTTTTTCACATTTACTAACCTGTTTTTAATACTTTTTCATGTTTTGTTTGTTTACATAATGGTTCTTTTTTATTTGTTGATGCTTGATCATTTGTTGTTTCTTTATGTTCAGTTGAGTTAACACTACCACGAGTAGTTGATAAAACTTCAGATCTTGTTGCACCAACTAATAATAATGTTTGTCTATCAGTTATATTTAAATCTTTTAATGTTGTTGTTGCATCATCCCGTTTAACACTTGTAATTGATTTATTAACTAATTTTTGTACTTGAGGATCGACATCGGTTAATTTATCAATTTTTTCTTTAACATCTTTTAATGTATCATATAAATCACATTCAATTAGAAATGTTTGAGTTTTATAACGAATATTAAGTGTTATCGGTACTTTTGATGTACTATGTTTTAGTATTGGTTGATCACCAATTTCATCCGAAATAGGATTTTTAAGATTTTCAGAAGCATCTATTGATACATCATCATCCATTTTGAATTTTGTTTTTTTTTTAATTAAATTAGTAATAATTAATAAAGCTTTTTCAAGATATGTTATAATCTAAAATAAAAAAAACAAAAATAAGAAAAATTCCATAAATATAAATAATTCTTTAACATTAATGCATTCTCGATTATTTACGTGATAGTATGCACTTTTATGTTGATGAAAAGACACAAGCGTAATATCATCTATCATCACTTTTAATATTCTAAATTAGAAGTGAACCCGTACAGCCCGTATTTCTCATTCATATGATTAGACCAATAAGTTTTCTATTTGAATATTGAGAGTACTCTTATACAACATCATGGCTGATCAACTAACCAATCGAATTCTTTGTTGGTCGCCTTGTATGTAGTCGAGGAAGAAAACTCTTTAATTTACGTAGGCATCAAACAAAATAAAAATCCTTGATTTTAGTTATAAACAAAAATTTTCTTGTATTTTAGAGGATGAAATGCTCGCTCAGATTTTACATGATCTATATGTTCCACGAGAATTACTTGATGGTTTACCTGAAGAACAAAAACAATTACTTTTTTGTAAAATGCGTGAAGAACAAGTTCGAAGATATCATGAACGAGAAGAAGAAGAAGAAGAAGACGAAGAAGCAATAACAATAACATCAGGTAGAAATATTTATTTATTTAATCATAATAAAATGAACTGTTTTGTTTTATTTTTTTCTTTATTAGTGAATACAAAGAAAAAAAAGAAACATGTTACATTTCAACTTAATGCTGATGGAAATGAATGTTGTTGGATCATAGGAGAATCAGAAATATCATCGAAAAATGTTAATGAACAACGAAATAACACGTAGATTTGTTTTAATAAATAATATCAATTCTAATTTCTTTGTCATAGACTTAACAATGAAAATATTATAAACGATCAGCAAAATCATTTAAGGTTAGTTCGTATCTCTAAAACACATTATAAATTAGAATACTTTACATTATTCTTTGTTATTTACTTACTTACTTACTTACTTACTTACATAACTGATCTCTGTAGAACTATTGCTGGTG